GATGTTGGTATTCTAAAGCAGACAGGACACAATCCTGTATTCATTTTGTCAACGGAGACAACAACTGACAGTTGTTCTCTAAATCAGAAGTAAAGTAATCCTTTGGCAACCGTTGTCTAATTATCTTAACATTTATTTTGCTAAAACCTGCTTTCATATCTAACATGTAAGCATAAAGTTAAAGGGACGAGACAGTAGTGGTATATTTATGTAGTTTTAGGAGCGGATTCTATGTTGTCAAAATTGTATGAAGTTTCCTTTAATAATAACATTAGGTTTGAATTTCAGTTATGAGTAAAACTTTTGAAGATTAAGCTGATGTTGTGTTTTTAAGTTCCTGCTTGGTGAATGGGTAGGTTTTGTTGACAAGAACTCAATGATCAGGAAAAACTTACATTTTCCAGATATGCTGCGATCCACCAAAACATAAGAGCAAAGAGTCTATATGCAATGTTATTTAACATAATGTGTAATAGAACATATGAGAACCAGTCTTACCTTCAGCAAAACGATTGACTATGACTCCCGACACCTCCTCCTCTTTCTTTTTTGTCTTCATCACTCTAAGAGTTTTGCAATGCTGTCAAATTCTGCAATTTCTGTTTTTATGTTAATATAAAATATGAGTGGATTTGTGAGTGGAAAAAATGGTCCTCATGTAAGAGCTGTGACATGAGTGAACTCACAGACTGGTCCACTGGTGAAAAGGAACATGTTCGCTGCAAATGAATAACACCTTAATGTCCTCGCTGCCAATCACAGGGAAGCAAACTTTCAGGGCAAAAGGTCATGAGGAAGGTGAGGAGGGCTTTGGGCAAAGTGACTATAAAAACAATGGGGAGGAATGGATAAGGGATCTATTTTTAGCACATGCTGGAACTGATTTTATTGTGACCGCTTTATAAGACACCAGCTATTTTACTGTTACGCCTCACAATAAATACATCCAAACATGGTCCAATCAAACTATTCACCAAGGATGATTCATTCGTTGGAACAACCGTGGTGGCCGTCCAAATATGCATGGTTTCAATTGACCAGTCCTCTTCTGGAAAATGAAATGCTATTTTTTCCTCACTCAAGCAATGAATGGATCTGCACTTGCACCGTTTGCACATAGTGAATCATACATCCAACACTGTTGCATCACATGTAACTGAGGACAGTTTTTTTAAGCTGATCAAGCAGGAGAAGTGTGAGAGAGTGGATGAATGTTGGCACATCTTAGATGCAGTGTATACTATTTTTTCTGAACAGATTTGAGTTTTTTTCAAAACATCCACAATATAGTTAAGTTTAAAACAAAATGTCACACATAGAGAAAATTTAAGGTGCAGTACTTCGACAGTCAAACCCAAAGGGCTAAATTGAATACAAAAGTTACGTGATGTGTTTTAAATTTAGATTTTATGCCAGACAGTCTTAAAGCCTGCCATCCATTTCCTATTTGGAGAGTGCTGGTCTCCTCTGTGCAGTTGTGACCTCTAGTCAACTAAAGCAAACAATCAATAGGCCTAAATTACCTGACAGGTTGGCTTGTAAGGGGTCAGTAAGATACAAAGGATCAACTCAAATATGTTGTAAAAGCCAACAATAAAACGTCCGCTTCAATCCTGGCACACATCGAGAGCCTGTGAAAAGAGTCAAGTACCAAAAATATTAGTTTGTGCTTTGGTGTTAAAAGATGAGCTGCAGCACTCTTGACCATGACAGGAAGGCACAGCTAACACAAACACAGAGAGCATAAGTTACAGGCCGGGCTGAATGTGGTAGAAGCAGGTATGTATTTTCAGGGTCATGAAATTATAAAAAGAGTTCGACCTTGGCTAAAAGCCTCCGTTCAAGGCCATGTTCCCCGGTTCAATTTTATCCTCGTTAAAATTCAGAATGATCAGAGCAAACTAAGCACGTATTTCTTTGCCTGTCCAACAGGGGTTTGAGTACAAGTGAAGAAAAAAAATCTTGTGTTTTTAATATGAATGAACCCAGCCAAATTTTATTCTAGACCGAGAAAAGATTGCCAAAGTATAGACTGCCCATCTTTAAGGCCTAGGCATCCCGCTACAGAGTGAGCTGTAAAAGAATGGTGGGATGAGATAAAGAAATGAATAGCAATGAACAACTATTATAAAGCCTTTAATAATTTCATGTGCTGAAATTCGTTATGGTGTGTATAAATGAGGTATTGCATACCCTGGTGTCCAAAATTTGAATATGTTTTATATCACTTGATTTCACTCCAAGGAGGACACCAGGTTTAAAGCTATTCAAGGATAAGATAGAGATCTCACAAAGAATATTATGGCTATAAAAAGAGCTAAGCATAAAGGTGTAGCCAAAGACAGAAAACATATTTTTCATATGGACTATTTATGATTGTGTTGGTGCAAAGTAAAGTAGACAGTCTAGAGTAAAACTAACCTGAATTGCTCTTAATGTGCTGACACTCAACTCCACAGCATAAATATCTGTTATAGGGCTGCCAAACTGGAAACATTCAAACCATGTCTCTGAAGAAGTTAATGTGTATCTGAGCAGTTGAGGATAAGCATGAAGTTATTCATACACAAGCTGGTACTTTCAACTGTCATTATCTAAGCTTTGTATCTCACATTGAACAAAACAGAAAGCATTTTTTTTATTCCCAATCTTTATTGTGCAATGGTTGGTGTCTGAGTCTCTGCTTATTAACTGAGTAATGTAAGTTCACAGAGTAAAATTGGTAAGAAATTGCATTTATTCCAATCGGAAATTGTTAGAAAAACATTCAAAATTGATCATAGTTGGAATGGTTTTGGAAGTAGGCATCGCAACAGCAGATAGTTTTGTGAAGAGTTAACACTGGTGCTTTGGAGTTAATGAGCAACAATTAGGAAATGAGTTAACCTGGGTTCTGTTGACCAGTCAAAGATGTTACCGTTCTGTCTCTTGGAGTTTGGTCTGAATAGGATAATAAACAGTGAGATGGATATGTGAACTGTGAGCTTCACCAAAAAATAAGGGCATAATAAGATGAGAAGGGGCTTATTTTCTGGTTGAGCAGTCAAACGCACTGAAGCAACACTAATATGGTGACAGGGAGGGCTTGGATCAAGGTACTTAAACTCTGCAATGGACTCACATGTGGCTCAAGTTGTTTGTGACTGAGTTCTTATAAGAACATTCATAAACTTTATCCATGTTTTCTTCTGCTTATCCCTGTCTTCTATACCTGTTCCTATGCCGCCTGGTGAGGATGTAGCTTCCCTTTAGAACTTCCAAAGGATGGTAAGAATTAACTGAAATTAGCATGACTAAATACATAAGTTAAAGATTTATTTTTTTTGAAAACTTCAAAGCAAACTATTGCAAATCCTTGATCATGGAAAATTGAATAACTTCCTGTGTGTGGAAGATTAAAAAAGCCTATGGATTATATCGATCACATTCATATTTTGATCACTGACATAACCAATTTTACCACCCCAATGACATGTAACATTACATGGTCTGTTTCTAAATGCAAAGAGGTCAAGCTAAGCTAATGTTCTTGTGGTGAAAAGCTTTTAAAAAAAGTAAATGTGGAAAATGCATAAAAAAACATAACCAAATAGCACATTGTAAATGTTCTGCATGGCAAAGTAACACCAGTGTGCAGCAGTTAGTCACCACCCCTCTTTTTGGTGTCAGTTTCATTCTAATTTCAGTCAGACATATGCATGGAGTAGGATGAGTTGATAAATGTTATTTGCATTTGACATTTTCAGAAGACATTCATCTTCAGTACATATGAAATTGGAAGTATCATCATGCGAATGTTTGAGCGCCTGTGTAGACCGTGTAGATTGTTTCTCCTGTGGTTACCATGACGGCCAGGAGCCTCAGCTACACCAATGTCCTTCTAAAATTGCTTGACTCTTCAAACCTCTCAACAGACAGCAGTATGTGAATGTCTTGAAGACTTTACATTTGGTTTCGCTCAGAGCTGATGGACAATTTCATTTTAGTGACATATGTATGATGATCCTTTCTGTTTTCTGGGGAGAATTGTACATCATCATCTAAAGCATTAGGGGGCAGTATAACCCAGTGGAGAGTTTCACAAACTGGTCTAAAAATGGTCTACTGATGTCTTTCTTCACTTTTTTATTCAACAAAGAACAATGATAAGAATAACGTAATTCTATTAAAAATGTAGTTGACTGGAAAATGTCTGTTGCTGATGCATATTTTACTAACACTAAGGTGAAAGTGCCAAAGACTCAAACCTCAAACCTACACTAATTATTATTAATTATAATAATAATAATTATTATTATTATTGTCGTTGTTGTTGTCGTTGTTGTTGCTGTTGCATTCAGCCATCTAACAATAATAACAAAGCTAAAAAATCATCAGATAATCAGATAATTTCAAGTCAATTCAACATATTTTAGCGTAAACATACAGGAGACATTCATCCACTCCTGTAACATAATATCAGTGTCTAAGTCTAGTTTAGAATTTTAACTTGTTGTGGTCACACTGTATTTTGGTTATATTTATATGATAATTATTAATTTCTCTGATCATGTAAACTGACTCATGATGAAAATGTCGTATGGGGCAAACATGGTATTTATCAAGCATGACTAGGTCTAGTGATATGTTACCAATGGACAGGTGCTTGACTTACATCTGGAACTAAAGCTGTGGAAATAATATTCAGCAGTTGGTAAATGTCTGTGTAGTAAAGGTGGAGCTGGAGAAGTTTCATGCCCATATCTGCATATCTTTGTCCATGAAGGCACTTTACTTGAGGCCAAATTGCCACTTGGTCTACTCTGCATAGCTTTAATACAATGATAATGACTGAGTGAGGGCAAGGGTGGTATCAGAACTGGATGTGAACTGACATTCCCATACACTAAACCCACCAGCCTGTTGCCTTCAGAATGTCTCATTTAGCAGTGGAGCAGAAATAGAGACAGGAATGCTCTAAACAGTTACTGTCAGTGAATCTTTCCAAGGATGGCTTTTTGAATTTGCAGTGATTGTTGGCCTTATTTTCATGCTTTTACATGATCCATGGTACCACTGCGTTATATACACCTATCCCATGGTGTTAGGTGAATGTTTCACATGGCAAAATGTTGCTTATTGGGCTGTTCGAACAAGCCTAATCCTGAATGTGTAAAATGTAAATTAACTTGAACTTTGTTATAAATTCTTTCAATGGCTGTTAACCTGGATTTTTTGCCATTCTATTCAGGAGTCACTTTACTAAGATATAGTGTGCTCTTTTAAAACCAGGTCATCCAATTAATTGCATCAAAGGCTATGTTTCTACCACCTTTGCTCACTTTCAGATTGATATGCCCACCAATTACATCTCATGGAAACAGAAACACGCATGGGTGAAGAGTCTCATTTAATTACTGCACTTCACTTTGACAAGGGATATCTATTCAGAGGGCCTTTCACCATTTTCTGTGCAATTTAGAAGAGAGATGCTGAATGTACTTGGCAGATAAAGAGTTGATGTGAAAGCACAATCTCCACATTCTGTTTCTAAAGTTACAAAACCTCAGTCAAAATCCAATTCGCAATTGCAGCCATGACAGATGACGTACTGCTCAATTTCAAAATTAATCCTGAGGTTCACACAGATTTCAATTCAGCTCTTACTCAACATGGACAGTAATATTTGAGACCTTTGTTAACTGTAAGAATTGAAA